ATCCTATACGGGATCGACAAAAAAATTTCCTTTTTAGGAAATTTTATGTTACACGACCGGAAACTAAATTTAGAAAAACTGGTTTTTTGTGGAACGGGTATCGCCAAAAATGGAAACGATCGACATGCCCGTGCGTCACGTGACAACAATTAAATACCTAATCATAAATTCCGGCTGAAATTAAAAGATCGGCGAAAAATTTCCTTTTTAGGATTCTTGTGAAACCCAAAATTTCATTTTTGCTGGGAAACAAAATTGCCTTTTTTGGATTTGTGTAACGTTACTCGTACCCTAAAAAGGATAACTCTATGCCGATTACTTAATTCCGGCCGGAATTATAATCAATCCGGTCAATCCGCGGATAATCCGATGATCCGATTTTTTTAATCCGGATTGATCCGTCACGTGATCATCCGGATGACGGATTGACCAGATTCATCCGGAGCGCACCTCTAATGTTACCAAATATAGTAAATTTTATTTTGTGTAACTTATAAAATATACTATATTTGGTAATTTGATTAGCATGATGTCTAGACTATGGCACGCCGGACTGGACAGATGTTTAAACGTAAAAGCTAAATCATTTGACGTTTAAGGTTAACTGCGAAATTCAAATGATTTGCTGTACCAACAAACTGTTTGACTTTATTGTTAAATTCTTTGCCAATACTGTCAAACAGTTTGGCGATATGAAAATAATTTTCCATATTTGGTTGAAATTTAAATGGTGCAATTTAAGTAATAATTTTCTTTTTAAAAGTCTCGTGAAATCCTATTTCCTTTATAGGAAATTTGTTTATAGATTTGCAAATACTTTGGAATTAATGGCAAATGCTTTGGGAATTAATGACAAATGCTTTGGAATTAATGACAAATGGTTTATATTTAACGCCAAATGCTTTGTACTCCAAAGTCAAATGATATGGTGTTAACGTCAAATGATTTAGCTTTTACGTTAAACATCTGTCCAGCCTGGCGTGCCATACTAGACATCATGCTGATCAAATTACCAAATATAGTATATTTATGAG